ACACACATACACACACACAGCTGACCCATACCTCCAGCTGTAGAGAGAGCTGGGAAGGAAGCAGTGCAGTGAAATTTGCAAATGCCTTCTTTCAGCTGGGGGACTCAAGTTTGAAGAGCATTTTTCTATTCACTGTGTTGCTCTTTGCTTTTATCATGTAAATGATTCTGGAGATCACTCCATTTAAATACATAGAGATTGTCCCATTCTGTTTTCCACTTGCAAAGTACTGCGTGGTGTGAATAAAGCAGGGTTCAAACAGTCCCCTATGGGGGGACATTTGGAGCTGTTTGCATTGGAGGCTAGTAAAGTAATGCCTTAATGAATAACCTGGTGTAGGTCTCATTTGTTAACATGGAGGTGAATCTTGAGGGGAAATTCTTAGAGGTAAGATTGGCTGGATCAAAGGTAACCACTCCTTTAGTTCAAAAATATTGTCTGGTTCCCTCCCACAAGGGTTGAATCCTTTCGCACTCCTACCAACATTGTATGAGAGTGCCTGACTCTTCACATCCCAGGCCCACAGGATATTTTTTTTTAAAGCATGCATTTTATATAAAAAATCTATACTCCGAGTTGCTCTTAAAAATCACAAAATCTGGCAAACACTGGGCCTGTTTTCCCACTTGGCCATAACAAGCTGGGGCTGAGGGGTCACTGAGGCCAAGTTGTCACTATGGCCCTTGTGGGTCTTGGAAGTTTCAACTCCTGATCTGGTCCAGCCCCTTCATTATGAAGATGAGGAGACTCCACAGATTCATAGAGGAAAGTGAGTGGTGACTAGAACCCAGGTCTCCTACTGATATGGGAAATAAAGGCAAAAGAAAAATTAAATTTCCTTACTACCTACAGCCCACTGACAAGTCCTTGAAACAGGCAGAGTGACATTCTTCTAGGCACTCAGCTGCCTCGATGTCGATACTTTGCTAAGGGCAAAACCAGGATCCTGTCAGTCTACTTTAACATATCAAAATTGCTTTAGAAACTTCCTTTACCTCTAACCCCCAAGATATATGTTAGCAATCATCCCCAAAGCATAAGACCCACCGATATACATCTGAAGGGTCTCATGACTAAGGTTTTATTAGACAGTAATAAATGACCAGCTGACCCCCTCAAAGTCCTGGAAACCTTGCTTCTAAAATTTGTTAGAGACTTGTGCTATCCCTAACCCCCTCCCAACGTGAAAGTATAGAATGGGCCACTCCTCGTGACTCTGTGCGGCTCTTCCTGCCCACGGGTCCTGTTCCCAGTGCTTAACCTTTTGGCACCAAAGACGTCTCAAGAATTCTTTCTTGGCCATTGGCTCTGGACCCCAACATCTTTCCTACATCACTATCTCTCAGTCTAGTGCACCATCTGGCCTCCAGGATAAGCCCAAGAATTGAGGCAGGGTAAGTGTATAAAAGCACTGACAATTTAGCATTAAAATTGGAATTGTTTTTTTAGCATTTACTTTGCTCACTAAATAGATCACACTACCCTGTAGTTGATTAAACTGTGACTAATCCGCACAGAGCAGAGTGACAAATTGGTTTCTATTTCTTCTGAGCAACCAAAAAAAAAAAAAAAAAGGACAGCAGAAAGATTCAGTTATTCATTCATTTCCTTATTCATTGAACACAAATTGTGGGCCAGCCCCTGATCCAGGCACTGGGGGTTCAAAGATGACTAGCAAGCATTTAAACACTGAACAAACAAGTATGCAAAACCTTGATAGAACACTAGAAGTGTTTTTTTGGAGGAACATACAGGTTGCCATGAGAGCCCAGAGGAGGGATTGTAATTCTGCTGAGGCGTATATAGGAGTGGTCACATAGGAGGTGGTAATTGGGTGGATCCTGAAGGATGTGTAGGAGTTTGCTAAGAAAATGAAGGGACATGGGAAAGAATTTCAGAATGGGACTGTATTTGGAGATAGGGTCTTTAAGGAGGTAATTAAGTTAGAATGAGGCCCTTGGGATGAGCCCTAATCCAATCTGGTGCCCTTATACTAAGAAGAAATTTGGACACAGAGAGACATCAGGAATACACTCACAGAGGACAGACCACATGAGGACACAGCAAGAAGGTGGTCATCTACAGGCCAAGGAGAGAGGCCGCAGAAGAAGCCAAACTTACAGGCACCTGATCTTGGACTTCTAGCTTCCGGAACTGTGAGACAATCATTTTCTATATTCAAACTACCGAATCCGTGGTATTTGGTTATGGCAGCCCTAACAAACTAATACACAGACACCAAGCCCTACTGGGAACAGGTAAGAGTGGGTAACAGTCAAGACAAACAAAAAGAAAGGGAAGAGGAGGGGTCAGGGGAAACTGAGGATGAAAATGGGGCAGGAAAGAAGAGGAGTTTGAATGTGGCAAAAACAGACATATTCAAGCCAAAAAAGTTCAGTCAGCCTCCAGTTTTCTATTGTCATTACCCAGTTTGTAGATATATATATTTTAAATTTTTATTTTTAGCAATGAGATGTGTGCATATGGCTACAAAATGAAATAATTCAGAGAACTTATAATAAAAAGCAGCTGCCCCTCCCCCACCACATCCTGTTCCCCCAGACCAACATTTTTTAATTGTTTCTGTTGTTAGCTTTGGCTAAAACAGAGGCTTGTCATGTGCCAAGCCCTGTGCTAAACCTTTTCTGTACATTGTTTCAATGAATGTTCACCACAACCCCATGAGGTAGGTACCATTATTATGCCCATTGTACAGATGGGGAAACTAAGGCATAGAGAAAATAAGCGATCTGTCCAAGGTCCTACACAGCTGGTAAGCAATAGAAATGGGATTTCAACTCAGGTCTGGACTCCAGACACCTAAATACTCTTAATCACCATACTCTGGTGGTTCCTGTCAAAGCTTTATTACTTGTGCTCCTTGATTTATCAACTCTGGACATTATCCATTGACTTCTTAGTATGATTGATGAGGATTTAGCTCACTTAATCCTCCTGCCTTCTGTCTTCCAATTTTAGATAGATATATTGCAATATTTAGTTCTGTTGTGGGTACCTTGGGGCTTTAAGTAATGTAAGCCTCAATTCCTTGCTTGTACTCTACAAACATTTGTTAATTGGCTGTGAGGGATCACCTGTGAGTGGGTGATGGAAAGGCCATCCCAAGTGTTCTTCTTATCCAGTCCCATCCTCCATAACACCCAGCTCTGTGATGGGCACCCAGCAGGTGCTTGATAAATATCTGGGTACCAGAATCAATGCAGAGAAACTTAACAGCACCAAACATGGGAGATGACCAAGAAATCTCAGCCAGGTGAAGGGCATGGTAATTGCAGCCCACAATGTCAGACCGGCTTCTTTGGAGACACAGCCTCCCGCTGAGGAGGGAACAAGGAGCTATAAAATGGAAATTGAAGGAGAATCACTTCAGAGTCGCTGTCAGGAAGCACTTCGCCCAGCGGAGACAGCAGATGACCTGGCTGCAAGGTTGTCTGGGCTCACACACCTGGGCCTGTCCTGCCCACTGAAGGGAGGCCACCGGGGAACTCCACACAGGCCCCTAGCCTCTCCCCATCGTGGGAAACCCGGTGGGAAGGGGGGTCTTCTGCCAGCAGCAATTCCACAAGTGGCTTTCTGAAAGGGGCGTCAGGAGCACCTCCATGGGGAGGTTTCTCACACAGACTGGAGAAGCTGGGCCTGCATACCTGTGAAGCCAGAGGTCATCTGCATACATAGGGTCTTTGTTCATGCTACGCTGCTGCCTAGCAAATTCTTACTTATTCTTGTACTTTTGGTCAGAGGACACAGTCTTCGAAAGGAATTCCAGACCTAGCAGCCTGGGCCACATCCCCTCTTCTATGTCCTCTACGCATTTTCCCTTGGTGACACTTCGCACAGTGGTGCATTTACATTTATTAGTCATTGCTTGTACAAAGTCTCACCCACAAGATGGGGAACGTCTCTGCTTTTGCTCACCACCAAATCCCTGCAGCTAGCCCAGCACCCAGCACATAGAAGGTGCTCCATGAACATTTCCTGAATGACCGAAGAAGTGAATGAATGAGTCTGAATTCAATCCTTTTAATCAAATGGGTCTTTTATGTGAGCTTTTGCCTCCTCAAAACCCAGTATCTTTGCACCGAAAGAGAAGAGGATGAAGCTTTCAGACGCTGACCGCCCCAGTCCAGACTCATGATTCACCTTCTGAAATGCAGTGAAGGGCATCTCGGATGACTCACACAGACTCCTGGGGTACGCCCCCCACCCCCCCACACACATTCTTTCCTTCCCTCCGCTCTTGTCCTCTCCCATCAATCTGTCAGCAGGCTGGGTCTCTTTACCTCTTACTCAGTGGTTCTCAGCCCTGGCTTCAGATGACTGACCAGGACAGCTTTTTAAACATACAGATGCTTGAGTTTCTGATTCAGGGGCTCCGATGGGGGCCTGGGCATGTGTATATTTAAAGATTTTCCCCAGTGACTCTGATATGTGGCCCACTCTCTAAATTGATCTCAAAGCTGTCTCCTTCCCTATAGCCACCTGCCCTACTCCAGCTCTGTCCACCCCCTCTTCTCCCCTGGGGACAGCAGTCTCCTCACTGGTCTTTTGGGGCTCCAGGCTTGGGTTCCCCAATCCATACCCTGTGAGGCAGCCTGCCAGAGAGATCTTTCTAGAATGAAAGCCTCTAGAATGTCACCCTTCTGCTTAAAATATCCCCTACATCTCACTGCCTATAGGACAAGCCCCAAACTCCTGGAGAGCCTCACAGACCCTGTTTACTTCTCCAGCCAACTCACTCACATTCTGCCCTAACATGTGAACCATGCTAAGGGTCTGAATGAGCCCGGTCCATGTTCTCTCCTTCTTCTAAGTCTGTGCACAACAGTTCCCCTCATCCAGTGTTAAAGAAAAATCTATCCGGACACTTGTTAAACCAGCCAGGAAGACTATTCAGGACCGTTGTAATAGGAGTTTTGCAGTAGGGGAGAGAGATAGGACTCAACTCCCAGTGCAACAAAGACAGCTGGGGATTTATGGGCAATGTGCACAGGAAGGGGTCAATGGATGGAAAATTACTAAGAGGAAGTGCCCAGCGTAGGGGGATTTTGTTACACTGACCTAACAGGGTTCTTGCTAAAGCCCAGGGCTTAGACATCAAGGGTAAGGGACGAGGAATTTGCTCAGGTATCAAGGGTGATCAGATCTCCTGGGTGAGGGGATGACCTGGCAGGCTTCTTTGCTAAGACTGGGCTGGGCAGACCAAAGCCAGGATGGGCGCTAAGATCGAGACCCAGTTGAGAAGAGGGCTCAGGGGAGCCCCAGTAAAGTTTGGTCAAGGAGAGAGTGTGTCAGCAGGAGCACTTGACTTGCTCTGCTCTGCATCTGACAATGCCTACTTTTTCAGTTTCCGGCGGAGGCAGAATGGCCTCTGGGAGGCCTTACCTGATACCCCTCCCCGGCACGGTGCCCCTCACCCGTCCCGTGTTAGCATTTATCACATCCTCGTGTTGTGATCTGTTTACTTGCCTGCTCCTGAGTTTGGCCGTGAGCAATTTGAGGGCAGAACTTGATCTTGAATCTCCAGTGCCTAACACAGTGTTTGGTTCTCAATAAGAATTCGTTACATGAATACACACTGATGAACACGGCTCTCATGGAATCGCTACTCTGCTCAGAAACCATCAATGACTCTGCATCGTCTGCATCAGTGGTTCTTGGACTTGGGTGAGCATCAGAGTCATCAGGAGGGCTTGTTAAACACTGAGTGCTTGGCTCCCCTCCAGAGTTTCTGGTTCAGTAGGTTGGACAGGGGCCTAAGAATCTGCATGTGTAACAACAGGTGAAACTGTTCCAGCTGGTCCAGTGGCACTTTGATCCTCACTGACACGCAGGATTGCAGCTGATATCATCCCCCAGTGAGATGCATCATACTATTTTAAAAATCCAAAAATAATAAGATTTAATAGGCAAATTTCAGGTGAGGTGTGAAGCAGATATGATCTCATGATCTAGGTGACCTCCTTCCCTGCCTAAAGTGTAAGATTCTTTCCCTCATTTCTCTCTTTCCCTCATTTGCAGCCTGGAGCATTGAGCAAGACTTCACTGCCTGGCCCCATGCTTCATTTGCTGCCTCCCAGGCACCACTGCCAGGCCCGGGGCCAGGCTGGGAGCAGGGACTGTGGGCCCCGGTGTGGCTGAGTGGCCTACTGATGCACATGGCCCAAGGAGCTCCCGTGCCCCGGGCCCTCGACCCATGATTAGCTGCTGCCACAAGCGAAGGGGCGGGCAAAGACAGCGGGCTAGGGGCCATGTCTGCAGCAGGCAGGACAAGACAGAGCTCCACCAGAGGAATCTGCCTGGCCCGAGGGGACCAAGGCACAGCTGTTTGCCGGGTATGTGGACAGAGCTGGGATGTGAAGGCCGTGCTGTTCACATGTGATGTGAGGCTTTCAGGGTGTGAGGTAGAGTCAGGGGTGGAAAGGGGGTCTTGCCCAAAGCCGGGGCTGGGGGGCAGCTTTCTCCATGTTGCCATGTTCCAAGGAGGCAAGGAGCTCCTTCAAATTTCAAATTTGAACTTGGCCTGCCAGGCCAAAATGAAAGAATACTTGTCAAGACAGTAAGACAGAACATGTTGGTTTTTTTTTTTTTTTTTTTTTTTTTTTTTACAGTTACCTCAATTTGTAACTTCTAACTATTCAGACGTTTGAGATACTCTTTTTTTTTTTTTTTTTAAGATTTTACTTATTTATTTGAGAGAGAGAGAATGAGAGACAGAGAGCATGAGAAGGAGAAAGGTCAGAGGGAGAAGCAGATTCCCTGCTGAGCAGGGAGCCCGATGTGGGACTTGATCCGGGGACTCCAGGATCATGACCTGAGCCGAAGGCAGTCGCTTAACCAACTGAGCCACCCAGGCGCCCTGAGATACTCTTGCTCAGGCCCTGCAAGTGTTTGGCATGCGGCTGCCTGCAGCAGTGACCCTGTGAGCAAGACCGCTCCCTGAGGGGCTGTGCTCTTGCCCGGGGCCAGAATCATCACCCAGAAGCGCTGGTAGCCCTGCCTTTCTGGGGACTGGCCGGGGCTCCTGCAAAGGGCTGGCAGGGCTCTCTCTCTTCCTGGGTGGTCAGGGTGAAAACTGGCCCACAGTTAAATGACAGCAAGTTTGCTCACTGAGATAAAAGAAGAGGCCGGGGCCTTGGGAGGCTTAGAACTGGGGTTCCCATTAGGCTGTTGGATGGTGGTCACTGGTTTGGAGTTAAACCTCAAGCTGCCACTTCCCAGATGTATTTCCTGGGGCAAGTCACCCCTCTGAGCCTCAGTTTCCCTGTTTGTTAAGTGGGGATCAGTGTAATGGCTGCACACGGAGGGGTGATGCCTCTGGACCGGGCCTGCGCAGGTGGGTACCTCTAAGTGCTAGCTGTCATTTGTGATTTCCTGGTTAGTTCATCCCTGTCTGGTGGGGCTTCCTCCCCAAGCAGCCCCACCCTTGGCAGAGTTTGACAAGTTGGGGGAGGCTGTCCTCCAGGTTCCCTGCTTTCCCTTTGGACATTCTTTGCTTGTGGGCACCCTTCCAATTCATTTCAGGGACCTACAACTCTCATGTTACAGATCAGGCACCCTTACCAATGCAGATTCCAAGGCCCCCGACTCAGATATTTTGAGTTGCGAGGTTGGGGTTGGGCCTGGGTATCTGCATTTTAATGAGGTTCCCCCGAGGATTCTCCTAGAAGAGGCGTTCTTGGAGAAACCCTGTGGTTGAGAAAGTGGACTGAAGGAACCAAGACCCACAGCTAGAGGCAGATTCCTGTTTCATCTGAAGCACTTTTCTAAGAGTCAAAGCTGCTCAAGAATGGAATAAGCTGCTTTAAGAAGTAGTAAGCCCCCAGTCAATGGAAGTATGCAAGCAAATGCCAGATAAATACCCGGCAGAGACAGGACAGAACTCCAGCCTTAGCTCAGGAGTTGCAGTTCATGGCCAGGACAATCTCTGTGGTTCCATCTTCTTATCCTCTGTCCTTCATCTCGGGAAATGCTGTCGGCCTTCTAACACCATCACCATACTCCCTTTCTCAGGGATGTCTTGGTTTGAGTCTCATGCTTGAGAAAGGAATGAATGCTCTCCTGTCCTAGGACAGAAGTCTGGTGATGAAGATCATTCTAGGCTGCCCCATTCCATTGTGCCACCAGAGGAAAACCCCATCTCGGCCCCTGGGGCAAAGAAACCCTTCCTTGGGCCTTCTGTGCCCCCCACTTCTCCTTCTCCATCCCCACACATAATTTATAAAAGTAGTTGCAAGCAAAGGAGGCTACAGAGTCAATTTGAGACTGTGCTCAAGTGAGGACTTGGAGCTGCGGTGCCTTGCAGTACTGTGCCTAATGCCGCGTGTAATCACTGCCATGGGTCTCTGTCAAGAACACCAGTACGCTTTGGGGCGGTCCCTGGAAACTCCCCTGTCAGGACCCTCAAGTGGAAGACAAATGGACAAGTCAGGGCAGTGATAATCTTGCTGCCCTTCTGTTGTCAGCTGCCCCCTGCAGCAAATCAGCTCAGTGGGGGGTAAAGGGAAGGGCACACCTGGCGGCAAAGTTCTGGGGGACTGGGGTGTGTGGTTGCTCCCCAAGAATGTTCTCTCAAAGTGGGGCCTGGCCAATAGTTTGTTTTGAGGGGATGAGCTGACCTGCCATTTGCTAAGGAATCAGGGAGGACAGTAGGTTTTTTACCTGCTCATTTTCCCACTAATCTACAACAAAAGCCCCATATCCCAGCCTTGTCTGGCCCTAGATTTGCTCCCCCAGATGGCTGAACCTGGCTAGGTGTCCCCCCACCTGTGTTCTAAAAGCCAGCAGAAAGCCCCCAGCTCACCCAGAGCTGCATAGCTATCCTTGGAAACCCAACTCCTCTGAGCCAAAGCTGAGCATTTCCTCCTTGGCCTGCACAACCCCCACCCCCCCTCCCACCCCTAATTGCTCCCCCCTCCCTGCAAGGGCATTGTATCTGTCTCCAGCCCCCTGCCATCTTTATACCTTGAATAACAGTTTTAGAAATGGTGGCCACCTATTGAGCACCTAGTATGCACTGGGGGTGTCACATGCATAACTGCAAATGTTCCTAAACACAAAATTATTAGCTCCATTTTGCAGATGGCAAAAGTGAGGCACAGGATAGTTAAGTGACTTGCCCAGGTCTGGGTGACTTAAAAATCCATAATTATTTGGGTTGACAGGGACAATAACCGTGAATAATAATAACAGTGGATCACAACCCCTGGATGTGAAGCAAAGCTCTGGCTCTTCCTTGTTATCAGGAGGGTCACTTTAACCTCTCTAAGCCTAGTTTTTCCCTGTGTAAAATGGAGATAATCATAATTATCATCATACCTACCTCTTTGTATTTGTGGTAGGCAGAGTAATGGTCCCGCAAAGATGCTGACATGGGAAGATTATCCTCAATTATCTAGGTGGGCTCAATAAAATTACAAGGGTTCTCATAGGAGGGAGGCAGGAGGGTTAAGATTTAAGAGAGAGTGTGAGCACACTCTCTGGAGAGAGAGATAGAGACAGAGATTTAAAGATGCTAAGATACTAGTTTTGAACATGGAGGAAGGGACCACGAGCCAAGGAATGCAGGCAGTTTCTAGAATCTGGGAAAGGCAAGGAAACAGATTCTCTTCTAAAGCCTCCAGAAGGAATACAGCCCTGCTGACACCTTGAGTTTAGTTCAGTGAAGCCTGTTTCCATCATCCAGAACTGTATTGTGTGTTTTATTTTTTTAATTTTTAATTTTTTAAAAGATTTTTATTTATTTATTTGAGAGAGAGAGAGAGCACACGAGCACATGGGGAGAGGAGCAGAGGGAGAGAATCTTCAAGGACACTCCCCATTGAGCATGGAGCCCAAGGCAGGGTTCGACCTCACAACCCAGGAGATCATGACCTGAGCCAAAACCAAGAGTCAGACGCTTAACCTACTGAGCCACCCAGGTTCCCTGTATTGTATGTTTTAAACCACTAAATTTGCGGTAGTTTGTTACCGCAGCAATAGGAACCTAATACAGGGTTGTGACTTAAAAAAAAATCAGTCAAACTGCAGGCACATTGAGCTGGTTATATAAAAGCTCACTACAAATGCTGCCTTCTGGGTTTACTGCAAGGGACTTAATACCTTAGATATCTCTGTTTTCCAAACATAATTTCTTATAACAGTTGGCACATAGTAGGTGCTTTTTAAAAAAGATTTTATTTATTTGACAGAGAGAGACACAGTGAGAGAGGGAACACAAGCAGGGGGAGTGGGAGAGGGAGAAGCAGGCTTCCCGCTGAGCAGGGAGCCAGACGCAGGGCTCGATCCCAGGACCCTGGGATCCTGACCTGAGCCGAAGGCAGCCGCTGAACGACTGAGCCACCCAGGCACCCCGGTGCTTTTAATATATAGTGGAAAAATGATAATTTCTTCACTAAAAAATGGGGAGGAGGCAACCCGGCAAATGGTGGTTAAGACTAGAGGTGCACATACGGAATATAAGAGGTCATTAAATTTCCCTCGAGTTAAGGCATTGATGGCTCTGGTTAAGACCCTAATGATTTGTCCTCTGTATAGAGTGACATATTAAATAATTAACAGTCTTCACCGAGGACTTTACTAGGTATACCTTGATACAGAGAAGAATGCAGCTCAAGGCTCACCTTCTATAGGAAGTCTTCTGTCCCCAGTCCAGTGTATCGTGATCGGTGTTTGTCAGAATTCTTGGTCACAGGTGGTAGCAATCCAAGTCGAATGTGTCTTAGAAATACATACATACAGGGGCGCCTGGGTGGCTCAGTCGTTACGCGTCTGCCTTCGGCTCGGGTCATGACCCCAGGGTCCTGGGATGGAGCCCCGCGTCGGGCTCCCTGCTCGGCTGGGAGCCTGCTTCTCTCTCTCCCACTCCCCCTGCTTGTGTTCCCTCTCTCGCTGTGTCTCTCTCTGTCAAAAAATAAATAAAATCTTTAAAAAAAAAAAAAAGAAATACATACATACATGCAATAACCAAAAATTTAAAAGATCACCTGAATTTATGGGCTAGTGTAACTGACAAACTGTAGCTATAGGTCTCACTTCAGGTACTAGTAGATCCAGGCATTCAAATGATGTCATCAGGATTTGTTCTCACCACCTCTTAGATTTGCTTTCCTCTGTGTTGACATCATTTTAAGGCAGGCTCTGCCCACGTGGTAGACCCCAGACAATCCAGGCTTGCATGTTACCAGCTCAGCAATCTCTGGGAAAAGAGAATCTCTTTCTCAACAAAAGTAGCAAAAGTCTTGGACTGGATTCTGATTGGTCCACCTTGAATCAGACGCCCATTCCTGAACCAATCACTGTTGCTGGGGAACTGGAATACCTACTTCATTGTTAGACTTGGGTCATGGGCTGAACTTGGGAGACGAGACAATCTCAGCAGAGCCACACGGACTGAGAGTGGGGGAGGAGTGGTCCCCAACAATGGAAATAGAGGAAGTGTTACCAGAGAAAGGGAGTTTGTGCGGGGCAGGCATAAACTACAGAATTTTCTTTCCCCAGATCACTTAGAGAGTAGGATGCAGAAATAGTACTAGAATCCAGCCTCTTGAATCACCCAAAAGTCTGGTTCTTTAGTCAAATTGGCTGGAGTGTGGGGGCTGGATCTGCAAGTAAAACTCTCAAGCCTCATGGGATTTCCTGGAAAAATAATGAGGCGTATGAGGGTGGAGGGCTGGCAGGAATAGATGCTTCCTGTTCATACGAGAAACTCAGACTCTCCGAATTGGAAGGCCACCAAGTCTGACTTCTCCATTCCCTTTACAATGTCCTCTCCCGGTGGCTGGCCGCCTCTGTGTGGATATGCTGCCAGGGACAGGAAGCGCACTCCTTTTCTGAGACGTCATTTTTTGATACCTCTGACCATTAAAAATAAATATCCTTATTTTGAGTCCAAATCTGTCTTCCTGTAGCTTCCCCATCCTTGTCCTGAGAATCACAGAGAATAAGCTAAACTCCTTTGGAATAGCCCGGAACAGAAGTGCACAGAGACTGAGAGTCAGCAGGATGTGCTTCTGATGTAGGTCCTCTGCTAGGAGAGCAAGGAAAATGAGATGAAATGCAAACATGAATGTGAAAGTGCTTTGTATTTCACAGATCATCATCACCATCACCATCATCATCATCATCAGTCAGGCACTTAAATATCAGACACTGCTCGAAGTTATTACCTAAACTTATCCTTTCTTTCTTTCTTTCTTTCTTTCTTTCTTTCTTTCTTTCTTTCTTTCTTTCTTTCTTTCTTTCTTTCTTTCTTTCTTTCTTTCTTCTTTCTTTCTTTCTTTCTTTCTTTCTTTCTTTCTTTCTTTCTTTCTTTCTTTTTTCTTTCTTTTTTGGAGAGAGAGAGAGCGTGAGCGCAGGCACAAGTGGGGATGGAGAGGGGCAGGGAGAGAGGGAGAGAGAGAATCTTAAGCAGGCTCCATGCTCAGCTCAGAGCTCAATGTGGGACTCTACCTCACAACCCTGAAATCATGACCTGAGCTGAAATCACCAGTCGGATGCTTAACCAATGAGCCACCCAGGTGTCCCCCTAAATTTATTCTTATAATAAGCATTTGAGATAAATTCTATTATTATTCCCATTACACAGATGAGAAAACTGATGGCATTAGAGCTTAAGTCACATGGTTAATTTAAGTGGCAGAGTTGAGACTGAAACTCACCTGGCTTGATTCCCACATGTGTGTCCTTATCCAACACAGCATCTATAAAAAAGATACAACAGTGGGCATTGCTTTAATTGATTGTTTCAGCCTAATGACCCTTGAGTTGGTGGGGACATTTGGTTCTTCAGTCTTTTCTAAGGTTGCTGAGTGGTTCTTGGCTTCCCTGATCTCTTTGTAGGACAGGGAGAGCGACTGAAGGTGCCAGAATCAGCCAAGAGCTGGCCCTCCAGCCAAGGGCAAGTTTCCTGTGGATGATGTTTTCCCAAACAAGTCCTTCCCTCTTCCCTGGTCCAGAGATTAAATAACCCACAGGCAGCTCTCCAGACAGAGAAAAAAATGAAAGAGAAGGCAGTGTGTATTACAAGAACATAAAAAGGACCAGGCTCTGTTTACTCAGATTGGGAAACAGATTCCAGGAACAATGTGTCTGCTCCAGTGTAATTATCTTGAAAGTGGTCGGCATTTTACTCAGTTCCAAAACTCATAAAGAGGCTTCAAAGAGACGGGGACTCTGGGGACTGTTTTATCAAAAGGGACTTAAGAGGTAAGGTTTCTAGATCAAACTCAGCTCTTAATTGAATCAGCAAAACTGAAAAAAAAATTAAAAAGGGAGTTTTATGAAACAGCAGGAAAACATTTTGGATATGCAGATTGAAAAGAAAGGGTAGCAACTGACCCAGATACCCAGCAGAATATCTCTGCACTGCTGGCTGGTGTTAGTGAGAGTGGAAAGAAAGGAAGTTATTGCGATCATAAACCCCTAGCTTGGAAGAAATATGGAGCTTCCATCTGTTCTAACTTTTTCACTTAAGTCACTTACATTTAATTCAACTTATCCATTCATTCATTTTTCAGTAAATAACAATTAAGCTCCTACTGTGCACCAGGGAGTGTTAAGGGCTGGAGATGCAAAGGAGAACACACAGGGTCCTTCCTTCAAGGAGCTGATCATTCCCAAATACATCCCAGGGTAGGAGGCTCAAGCCCCTGCATGCCCTTCTGAGAGGGAAGTGTCATTACCTAGCATCCCCCCACCCCCATACTCCTCTGTGTTCTTCAGGAAATCTCATGGGGCTTGATAGTTTTGGCAACAGTCCACCTTCACATTGCAGTGTATTTGACTTTAGAACTGGATTAGTATAGGATTCAGGAGGCTCGATTCTAGTTCTGTCTCTGTGTCCTGTACTGTATGTGCTTTTTGGAAAGAAAATTCTATTCATACGAGAAGAAAACTGAGCCTCCAGGAAGGCTTTTCCCCTCTTGCTCCCCCAGTCCCTAGGTTCTGTTTAAATCTTGGCCCTCCAGCTCACAAACTCTGTGCCTGTGAGCAAGTTGTCTCATCACTCTGTTCCTTAGCTTTGCTGTATGTAAAGTAGAATTGTGGAAGTTTGTGTTAAGAAAAATGTATGTGAAATGCTTGTAATCATTCCCCTTATTTAATAAACACTCAATAGACCTTAACTATTATTATTATTATTATTAGAGCACTATGGACCATTTCTTCATAGTATTGATCACCATTTGTTATTATATATTTAAGTGGCTGTTAGATTTATATCTGCCTCCCCCATTAGACTGTAAACTCCATAAGGGCTGTTTTATTTACTGCTGTATTTCCGGTGTCCACCTGGGTGCCTGGCATACAATAGGAGCTCAGTACATATTTGTTTAATGGGTTAATGAATGAATGAATTTCTTCCCAAATCCATCTCAGCTTGCAGAGTATCTGAGCTACCGCCGGAGCATCTGTTCCCAGAGGTTTTCTCAAAGACACTCTGACAGCTGTTTGTGCTAGAAGCCACCATAAAAAGCATTTTTAAAAGAGAGAGGGAGAGAAGAGTGGTAAAGAGGAGATCTATGGCCCAGCTGGGATCCTGGACCTCTGCCTGCAGTGAGACTCAGGGGAGGGAAAGGGAGAAGGGAGGGAAGGGGAGAAAGGCGGGAAGGAAGATGGGGGCTGAAGAAAGGAAGACAGAGGCATAATTTTGAATCAGAGGCAGAGAGATACTCAGAGAGAAAGATACTCACCGAGGCAGAGACAGTCCTCGAGAAAGGTGCTCCGTGGTTGACAGAGACAAAGATGGAGTGGGAGAAGGAAAGGAGGGAAGACAAGTGTTTGAACCGGTGGCAGCTAATTCCCCAAATCCGTGAGGGTTTTTGAGAGCTAGAGAGTAATGCAGGCTTCAGCCTTGGCTGGTTGATTTATGACCACTGAGAGTTGGGCTACACTGGAGCTAAGCACATTAGGCAGCTCTGTGGCTTGGAGCTTCTCAAAGCCAGCCTGGACTTCCCCAGAGAGCAGGCTGGTGAGCAGATCAAAGGGTAGAGAGGCTGTCTGCTCTAATGGGATGTGAACTCCCAGTCAAGGAAATCACGGTATGGAGGACTTAGAATGCTTCTCTCATTACTCTCACTTCTAATTGGGAGCCACACAAGAACTTCTGAGTGATCCTTCCTCCCTTCCTCCCTCCCATCCTCCCTCTTTCTTTCTCACCTTCCCTGCCTTCTCTCCCTCCCACCCTCTCCACCTTCCCTCCCTCCCTCCCTTCCCCCTTCCTTCCTTCCTGATTTGTTGAGCATTCAGAACACACCAGGCCACCAGGATTAAATAAGACATGATTCTCAACTTTTAAAGAGCTCTCAGTGGTACAGCATAAAGAAAAGAAAAGCCGGGCATGGATGATAGGTACAGTATGGTACCATTTATACAAATGCAATTTTTAATTTTTATTTGTTCATGATACATGTACTTAACACATACTTATAGGTATAAATACAAAATGGATTAGGCAGAAATAATCTAAATTTATGACTGAGGGTGCTGGGGAATGAGGTGGGAAGGAAATGAAATCTAGAATGGCAAATCAAGAGGGTTTCATCTCTAGATGATCAACATGTTGCTTATTTTATTTTTAAGAAATTGAAAAAATTTGACAAATGGTTTTTGAATGGTCATTTCTCGATGGTGGATATTTGGCTATTTGGTAGATGCTGTTCTTTTAAAATTTCCCAGAATTAAGAGAAAAGCTCAAGAAATTGAAAAACTGATCATAATTCAGTGAGACAAGTCACTTTGATGCTTCTCTTTTTCCACATTAGCCCCCGGAGATGGAAGTAGCAGGGATGCTCAGAGGCATCCTCTCTCTCTCTCCCTGTCCATCTATCCTGCAGTCCCTATTTTCAGGAACAAATTCCCCAGGATTAAATCAAATAAGCTACTGCATGCTAAGTACAATGAAATAATCCCCTTTCCACGAAATACGTGCACCTTCCAGAGTGTTCCAGGAGTCTGGAACATGGTAGTTGAGGCAGGAAGAGAGTGGCAGTTGGGAGCCAGAGTGAGCAGAATCCCTTGGGTATCTGGGGGAAAGAGGCACTGGCCATTGATGGTCTCTCTCTTTGAAGAAACCTTAATTTGTGGGCAGGTGCTGGTGAAAAGAGCCCAGGCTTTGGGCCCAAACAGACCCAGGTTAGGGGCCCCTTACAAGCTGTGTGACCTCGGGGAAACTGTTAAATCTCTGAGTTTGAGTTCTCTCACATGTAACATGGGGACGATAATGCTGCCCAAGGCAGTTGTGATATTTAAATGACCTTGTAGAAGTGAGGTGTCCAGCCAAGCTCAGTACAGTACCTGGAAAAAAATAGGTTCTTTGCACATATTAATCTTTTCTTTCTGAGAGGTAGGTTTTCTTCAGTGTGATGCCTGGAATATGGTTCCAAGAGCCAGCTTCGTAAATGGCTGCAGTTGCCAGGACTTCCTCTGTCTTAAAATCTTCCCTCATGGAGAAAACAGCATTGTAAGTGGAAAAGATAATGAAGACACTGAGCCTAAAGAAGTCCTGGGCAGGGGCACTTGGGTGGCTCAGTCGTTAAGCGTCTGCCTTCGGCTAGGGTCATGGTCCCAGGGTCCTGGGATCGAGCCCCGCATCGGGCTCCCTGCTCTGCGGGGAGCCTGCTTCTCCCTCCCCCACTCCCCCTGCTTGTGTTCCCTCTCTCACTGTCTCTCTCTCTGTCAAATAAATAAATAAATAATCTTAAAAAAAAAAAAAAAAAGTCCTGGGCACAAGAGGAGAGCAACA